CCCCAAAACCCCAAAACCCCAAAACCCCAAAACCCCAAAACCCCAAAACCCCAATTTAGACAATACTTGTTGAAATCTGTTTGGATTTTTAGTAAACTTTGGAACTTGGCTACTGCTGTTGTTGGTCAAATTTTACAGACCATGCTGCTAAATCTTGGCATTTTCTCCATCCGGTTTTGACGATTCCAGGACAACTTGGAGCATTAACGTATCCATCTATCAAGCCCTTGAATCTGACAAAAGCTTGTTGGGTTTGGTTGTTCAGCATGTACTTTAGCCTAATGAACTGCCAGAAGAAGATGATTGAGACAAGACTTGACCAGCCAAAGAACCATCCGATTATTAAGTATATTCCTACGTAGATCTCAAGATCTGCCTTCAGAGTCAATAGCTGCGGCTTATTAGTCACACCTTTCTGTAAGAATGGTCTTACAAATGATGGAATTGGAGAGTTTGGACTATGACGAAGGTATTCCATCGCGTAATCACTGACATAAATGTAAGCGAAAATCAAAAGAGGAGAATAAGCAATTAAGTTGAAACCTCCAAGGAAGAAAATCACACCAAGGTATCCAAGGTTATGGAAATGCTCCTCAGGAATCACTTTCCTCAGATAATCCATATTAAATTTTGGGAGTCCTGTCTTGTTCAAAATGCCTAATACTCATGCTGCAAGACATATTTTGTTAGTTATTCCTGAAAATAGAACTGTCAAGATAAATAGTAAATAAGCAACAGCAACATAGAGCTTGATTGATGGCATCTCTTCATGAACAGCTTGTCTGTATGCATACCCATATGGATTGGCCCCTGGAGGAGGTGCTTGTCTTTGCTGCTGAGCATTTTCATTCCTTTTGGCGTCCTCATGATCATAATTCACATCAAAATCTTTATCAATATTCTTCTTGTACCACTTCTTTTTAAATTTATCCAAGACCTTCAGAGGAGGTACTGGGTAGAGACCATTCAGGTATGTCTGCCACTCTTGACTATCCTTCCAACTAAATTCCTGGTACTTTTTGTACTTCTCGTCCATACTACGTGTTATTATGTTTAATTATTTCTCCCTGATTTGGGGTTTTGGGGTTTTGGGGTTTTGGGGTTTTGGGGTTTTGGGG